TCGATCTTGATTTCATATATAACCCATAGTAGCAATACCAGGTAAAGCGACTCCACCACAAGGTATATTTAGCAAGCTAGCTTTTACGTTGCTCTGACACTCAGGGTAGGTATGAGCGGTTTCAACCCGAATGTGTCTACTGGAACCAATTGCTGGGCCACACATTGATGCTAGCCTTATCATGTTTCGCAGCCTGGCTATGTAAAATTTCAGTTTGGCCACGCTTTTTGATGTGTCTCATTTTACAGGCCCTCCATTTTATTTATTTATTTATTTATTTATTTATTTATTTATTTATTTTAATTTTGTTATGAAAAGCTAATGTTATGTCCTATGTTATTATAATTGGAGGTTTTTCTTCCACAATTGGTGGGCATTTTTTAATGTCAAAAAATATGAACAACAGAAAATTCTGATACCAAATATCTATTTTTCTTTAAAAAAAATAATAAAATAAAAATTTAAAAAAAAAAAAAAAAAAAAAAAAAAACAGCTAAGGCATTTTTAGAGCAGGGAATCTTTGATTAGTGGGCACTGTACTACTCAGATATTGCATCCAGAAAATGAAAATTCACATAAAGCACCCTTGTTAAAGGGTGGCCTGCAGGCTGACGCTATAAACAATATTAACACGTTTAGAAGACATTTATAAGAGGGTCATTTATAAACGCTTATTCCCTGGCCGCTATATCACCTAGCAGTCAGTGAGTGTGAACAACTACTCACGTCAGTCTGATGAAGGCCTTCGACCAGGTTGGCCGTAAGCTAACGGTACGGAAATTTTTAGGCTTGTGTTTGAGAATTTTCATGTATATCCAACAACCTAGCTAATGAACATTTTTGCTCATATTTACATGACTGAGAATTTTAGTTAATTGGTCAATTTCAGCTCACCTGACTTTGGTCTCTGCTCATACCTAAAGAAAAAAAAAAATAGGTCTAAAAAACTTGGGATTCCCTCTCCCGCTGGTAGCACACGTTATATATCTGCCTGAGCTCTTCGTTGCTTCACGGGGAAACTCTGGGTTAATCTCCTTAATGTTATTGTGACTTTAAAAAATATACACCAAAACCAAGGGGCATTTGGGTCAAAAAATATATGGACTAAGAAAAAAGCTTTTTGATATAGAACGGCTTTCAAGTGTCATATGAAAATATATGAATAAAATGTTTCTATACAACATTGGTCAAAAAGGTTGTCCCACCACCATTTCCATATACTTTTATTTACAAATGATTACCTCACAGCTGTAAATTGTTAGAAATAGTGCTTTTTATTCCAGATACCGTGTCTAACACGATTAAGGGTTCAAAAAAATAAAATAGTGGTGAAAATATACAAATTTTATACAATTAAGTGAAATTTATAACAGGTACCCCCTCAAATCCAATGTTTCACTGTGATTTCAACAGATGTAAAGAAATGTCAATTAAATTGAAAAGAGGCCATCAAATGTCACCAAATTAACACACAATTAGCATTAGGGTGTGCTCGTTAAAGTTCACGTGCCTAATAGCGTGTGCGGCTACTGCGTACTGCAATTATCTCCTGTAGATGGCGCGACAAGCAGAACGCGCAGTTCCTACGAAGGGGATGCTCCCCCCTCCCCCTTTCCTCCCTTGCTGTGATTTGCCCAGTGCTTCCTTTCCAGTAGACGGTTCTTTCACGACCGATATAACTGCTAAGTAAACATTCTATAACCATTTGTATGTTTTTAATCTGGTACTCGGTATTCTGGTATTACAAATTCTCACCTAACGAATTGAAGCTATTTTTGGAGAAATGTCGTTTAGTTCTATGATGAGAGGCCTTTAAAATATTGCATTTTAAATTTTAGCTGCAATAGATGGATGCCATAACACAGACAATAGTTGAATCATATCAGATAATATTAAAAACAGTTAACAAACACCGTAATCATTCGGTCTTTTCCGTACACATATGTCAGTCAACGACCGTTGACGGGGAATCCCCTTTTAAAAATTGTGGCAACATTTATATGAAGTCATGCTGGTCTAGTCAAAGGGTTTTATTACATTTCACCAAGGCATTCCTTCCGAGACCCAAGATGACGATTTCTTTGATCCTACTGTGAACAATCTCATAGTATTTGACGACCTATTTGCCAAAGCAGCGGTTGATAGCAGAATACGTGACTTAGGGTGCTTTCCCAGAGATTTAGATCGATCTAAAGATTAAGATTTAGATCGACCTAACTCCCAGGGGGTTCACGCTAAATTGCAGTCAGCTGAGCGGGCACCATAGTTAATTACCCCCTTACAGCTTTTAGTAGGCGGGACAGACGCTTAAGCTGGCCAAACTGACAGTAATCTAGTGAGACTCCCCACAGGGATAGATCGATCTAAAAATCTATGGAAATGGGGTGTTATTTACCAAAGTGTCAACTCATCGCAATGTTAGTGCCATCCTTATTACCTAAAACCTTTTTCCCAGAGAGAAGGAAGCGAGAACCATCTCTTTGAAAACCCAAGGGACACATTGCAGGTCAGAACACTAGCCCAGCAGATGTATCCCGGTGAGGTAAAAGGTTTCCTCCGAGTTTTTACACAAGCAACCTCTCCTCCTCATGGCTATCTCTTCATCGATCTAAAGTAAGACATTTCAGATGACTGTCGTCTACGTGTTGGTATATTTCCCGAGGAAAACAACGATGATGAGTACCAATCAGAGACTGTAAAGTATTTACAAGAGGAGAAACATAAAAAGCAACCGTTTACAAAAATAACTGATAAAATAGAAGCAGACCAACGCAAGTTGTGGAAAAGAGATGACCTTAACTTAAATGAAAATGTTAATTTGAATGATGAACTGTCCCTCGAGAAACAGTCGTACTGGAAACGACAAAAACACAAGAAGGACAGTACCATAACCATATGGCGACTGAAACAGTGTATATGAAGACCACTCCTACACAACACTCAACACTCCCTCCGCCATACAGGACTGTATGTTCACCGCAACGACCGCCCACCATTACCAGTGGAGTCGACAATCCCATGGCGGGACCGAATGCGTTTTAAAAACGCTTATTCCCAAAAGACATTTATGTCTCCTCATTAATACCATAATCACAAAAATTGTATTCATATTGTCATTTTCATCCACACAAGTGGATGCATATGTTACAGTGAAATAAACTAAACTATAAACTTAAATATTAACCCAAGCCAAAGGATAAGTAAATGACAAACACAGATATATAGTGCTCTTATGGCCGCTTTTATTGAAAGGTCCCTCTATTAAAGAATGGTGTTAGATATTATATAGCATTAAATAATGTTAATTAGTTAAAATTACGTAATGTTATCTCTTAAAAATAAATATCAAAACAAATAGTGCAAACGAGTCTGCTACAGAGACGGACGATAAAAAATCGGAAAATTACAAAAATATGGGAACAAATCCCTTGAACCTATTATTTACAATAATAACCATATCGAGAATGATCCAATATACAAGGCACTTTTAAATTTCTATAAAAATGGAGAGCAATACCCGTGGCTATCTTTCCGTGGCCGATATGCTATTCCAATCAAGATACCAGTTCAGAAAAAAAATAGTAGATAATCTGTTGTACAAGTTAATGAATTTTTCTTCCACTTCCTGAATATTGCTATTTATAAAATAAAACCACAGTCTGAATGTGTAGCATATATTCTGATGATGGAGATGTGATTGTAAACCCTTCTGTAAATAAAACTACCTTGTCAATAAACAAATATGGCCATTCATTATTGTTAAGTAAGCAGGGGCCGGTTTCACAAAGTAGTAGTNCCTTTCTTGCTATCCGTACCGCCAGACGGCAACGTAGACTACAGCGTTTTCATGAAGGGCAAAATGTATTAGAATATACACACGATGATGCAATTTACAAGAGGTTGCGCCTAGCTGTGACAAAAAGAGCGGCAAAAAGGTGGTGGAGATTCTTTACGACGACCTCAAAGCAGACGTTCTTATGCATTTCCAGCCACCAAAAATTGGAGAGTTAGTGCTTTCGTGACACTTTTACGCAAGAGTTCCACTTCCGGCAGACGGTTTCGAGACTACGGTGAGTAACGAGAGAACTAACGACCGAACTTTACGACTGAACTTAGCGCTGAGTTAACTACTGCTTCGTGAAACACCCCTCAAAAATCGCTAAGTTTGCTCGTTAGCGAGGTAGTTCAGTAGTTAGTTGTTCTAACTAACTACTGCTTTGTGAAACCGGCCCCAGACCAGTCGCTAACTCTAGAGTTTAATCGTACGCATGCGTAATGAGTGAAATAATAAGGTTGCTTAGTTACCGTTGTCTGTCGTTTGTCTTTGTATCCAATATGGCGGCTACCTTTCTTGCTAACCGTACCGCCAGACGGCAACGTAGACTACGACGTTTTCATAAAAGGCAGAATCTATTTAGAATATACATACGATGATGCAATTTACGAGAGGTTGCGCCTAGCTGTGACAAAAAGAGCGGCAAAAAGGTGGTGGAGATCCTTTACGACGACCTCAAAGCAGACGTTCTTATGCATTTCCAGCCACTAAAAATTGGAGAGTTAGTACTTTCGTGACACTTTTACGCAAGAGTTCCACTTCCGGCAGACGGTTTTGAGACTACGGTGAGTAACGAGAGAACTAGCGACCGAACTTTACGACTGAACTTAGCGATAAGTTAACTACTGCTTCGTGAAACACCCCTCGAAAATCGCTAAGTTTGCTCGTTAGCGAGGTAGTTCAGTAGTTAGTTGTTCTAACTAACTACTGCTTTGTGAAACCGGCCCCAGACGCCCCCGGCTGATTAACTAATTAATTCAATAATAATAATAATACATTCCTTACAATTAAAAAAGAGCTGCATTGTTTAATGAAACAGAACACTGTTAGAAAAGTAAAACAACAAGAGAAATTTACAAGTAAAAAATAATCAGCTATTTAATATAAAATTCTGGCAGACTAGGGACAAGAAAATAAAGAGGATCAGATACATTTTAGAAACTATTCAATGTCTTACAATCAGCTGGTCCTGCAGCGTCCTCCTTGCTATAAGACTCTGTACCACATTGGTCCTGTCCAGACAGTCTATGCAGTTTGTTCGAAACACGCCCATCTGCTGACTCAGCACGGTGCCCTCCCGCAGAGACATGAAATAGCTGCAGGTGCAAGATCGAATCAATCAGTAAAACTTAGTCAAATTGAGGACTTATATTTGTTACCAAAAAAAATCACAATTATTTAGATTTATATTGTTACTGTCATTGTCATTAAAATGTAATTACAATATCAATATATTTTGATAAAATTTCTTAAAATGAGGTAATAGTAGGTTCAATAGACCATAAAACACTATGATACCTCTATAATTCTACTTCAACAATCCAATGGATTTTTACACAGAAACATAAGACTATGATATACATATTGCAGGCTTGAACAATTGCCTTACGAAACACTCAAAATATTATGCAATATCCAAAGTCACAATTCATTTTTCAATCTTATAATTAATGCAATCCCTGTTTGCCTACATTGTGGCCTTGCCCACTATGTTTACTGTCTGCCTATCCTGTGTACTTACCCCATTTCTTTCCTGTCTGCTTCTATCCTGTCCATGAGTATGTTCAGTCTTTCCCATCTCATCTTACTGCATTCTTTGTGGAAATCAAATGATTCTAACCTTAAATATGGAAGAAAAAATATAAAACATAATTTACTGTACATGGCACAATTTCTTTTTACAAAAATTAAAATCCATCTCATAAATGGGTCTATATATAGATGGGAGATGTAACTTCGATGCTGTGGTTGAAAGTAAAAGTAAAAAAATGGCTATCACAGAGTTATTGACAACACATTGCAGCCTGTATTTTCATAAGTTGCACAATATTTTTAAAAAGTCTTCAATTTTGTTTTTATTACACAGAAACAAAAACAACAAAACATTAATAAAGGTCTACAATAACATGATTCTTCCATGTGTTTACTGAACACTTACAACTAAAGCTAAACAGTCATTAGACCCATAGTTTATCAATATAATCCCACTTTTATTCTTGCCTTATTTTTTTTACTATTCTTATCACTATTCAGTATACTTTAAAAATTTTTTTAAAGCAATTTAACTACCTGATATTGTCATTGTGAACATTTCTAACATTATCTGCCAAGGCAGTTCCCAATGTTAACTCTTTCCCCTTCTGATCAATCTGAAACACACAAAGTTAACATGATAGCAATATTATAATAAGAATAGAACCAAGATACAAATTAAAAGGAGAAATAAAAAAAAAACTACAGTAACTATAATACAGGTTTTGAAATTTGAACCTATAGGTCTTGACTTAGCCTGAGCTTCATCTTTTGCCTTGTTTCAAAATAAAAAATTAAATATTTTAAGTGTTTACTAATTTAAAAGTTAGTAAGAATTTACTCCAAAAAGAGAAAAATTCAAATTCCTGAGATCAGTTATATGTCCTGATTGAGGACCACTTACCAAATCTACCAGTACTAATCTTCCATAATTAAATATCTGTTCATCTAAATGTGTCTTCATACCAAGAAGCTGAAATAATAATAAAATGCATTTAATTCAGTAACAGTTATGGTCTTTCATCTTACTCCTATACACTCCTGTAAGCCTCTACATAGGCCATCTATTATCTATTTTCACTACCTTTGTCCAGTCTGCCATGACAAATGAGAGAGAGAGAGAGAGAGAGAGAGAGAGATGAGGAATTGTGTATTCTATATAAACAGAGTAACAGAGTACTACGTAGAAATGTATTCCTACCTGGTTTTCCTTGGTACTCAGAACTGGGTCAGGTTTGTATTTAAGGTTGGGTCTCTGAGACCAGAACATGGGGATCGATCCTCGTGTCTGAAGTGACAGAGAGAAGAGAATTTGAAATGTGAAATTTTAACGAATTGTGAAATGCCTGAATACATTCTAAACAGTAATGCTGTTTCTCAGTGCAATTGCGTTTCTATTTCAAAATGTGTTTTCTTAGACAAAATAAACATAGTATATCACCAAAACAAGAGATACAAAACTGAATGAGTGTAACTTTGTTACCTGAACAAAAGAACACATGCTCCCTTCGTACTCCACTATCTGTTCAGTCTCCACAAAATTTGCAGCATGGCCTTCAGAGTTAATGCCTCGTATGAAGTACCGTGTTCCTGCTCTTAAACAGCTACGCCGTGAGATAAGTGCATAGTCGAAGGTCTTTCCCTTTACGATGGCTGACTTTATAAACACAACTGGGAGTGGCGTTAAGGATTTTAAACTTCGCTTCAAACCATGTTATGATAAATTTGAAGATTTTGTGGAACATTTTACATTCTTTAAAGCATTGTGCATTACATCCTGATCAGTTGTGAATTTTTCAGACCTATACATTTCTTGTTATGTGGATCATGAAGTGTAAACTCATTTTCAGCATAGTTAACAAAAGAAAACTTCTTTATTTGACTTCTTGCCTTCTCATACCAATGTAATATTCCCCAATTTGCCATTCATTAAAAAAGTCAATAAAATATATTTTAAGATTTACTTGCTTACCAAACAAAAGAAGCAATCTTGCATTATGCAATTTGTTGCTATTGACTGCTTTTATACACTTATAGTTTGTCGTTTAGGGTCACCAACTTCTTTCTCACCACCAAACTACTCAAAAGTTTGTTTCTACTAACCTGGTTCAACATATACAAATCAAAAATTAACATACAATTGCATTTTTTCACGATATGGAGAGACAAGAAAATTTAAATTGGCAAATATATCATGCAGGAGTTATCATATAGCCTTGAAGGATACAACCATGCATCACAGGTAAACAGTACTTGCTGAGCTCTGGCTGTTGTGTCAGCTCTCTTAGAACATGGTGGTTCCATATAAATCTTTGATCAGCCTGGAAGAATAATAAGGAAAATCTCAATTCTTATTACTGAGGGTATCAAGACATTTGATGTGAAATATGAGCTTAAGTGTAGCCTGATATTGAGAACCAGATGTTTTGTGGCTTGGATACAGGACAAAGCTACCATATATACACAAAATCTCAACTGGCTGAACCATGAACTTAATATATCAAATTATACTGAGTTACAGACTTATTTTTCACTAGTTATTCACAGATATGTCCCCTGATAATTTTCTCTGTTGTAGAGAATTGGGTCATGAATAAGTCAGAGACACATCTGTGAACATGTAGTGAAATTCAACCTGTGGCATAGGTAGAGAGTAACACGTGCTAAAGCATATTCATCTATTTTAAACTCAACTGAAGGTTTGAAGTTTTTAACACTAAAAAAATATGCTAGAGTCATCCCTGGATTTATCATTATACGCCCCTTTTCACTTCATGCATTACACTTATCAGGATCAAAAAGCTTTGAGAGATTTACAACTTAACAGCCTTAATACGCAAGATAGTCACTGACACAGCCATTTCTGATTGGCCTAAGTAGTTGGAAGAGAATTTCTCAAGAGCAAAATTACGCATTAGGACCCATTTAAATGTTTGGATACTGATAAATGCAATACACAACATGAAAATGGTCAATGATGCTATTTTTAATATACTCTAAAGAAATACAAACCCTTTCATGAAGAGCTAGCTGTTTGAAATCGGGACTAGTGTTGCTCAGCCTCTGTAGTGAGTGGGAGAGATCATATGTGGTGGAAAAGTAAAAGAAATCTGCTTTCAGCATTTGGTCCAGCATGGATAAGTAGATTTTGTTGTCATTCATCTGAAAAGGAAAACACGATCAATTACAGATGCATATTTCTATATTTAATTTTGATATGAATGATAAATACTGCAATTTCAACAAAACAAAAGTGATTGTCGTACAACAATGATTGAAATTTTATGCAGCATTAAATATCACAGAATTAAAAGCAGATCTATGGAAACAGTAACTGCATGCCTAGTCCTAGAACTCACATTAAAGAATCCACGACAAAGAAGCTGCAGCAGATAACAAAATCCACAAAGACTTACGACATAAGTCACAAAAAAAAAAAAAACTTGCTCACCTGGGTTTCTGTCAGGTGTAGGAGTGTCTTCTTGTATGGAATGACCTCTGTGTCAGCCACCCTCCATATTGACTGGCCTCCTATCTCTCCAACCTTCACCCTCCTTGTTATCAGTAACAGATATGGACCTGCAGGGAAATAATAATAATAATAATAATAATAATAATAATAATAATAATAATAATTTATTCAGCACAAGAATGATTTTACATTAACAGGCTCTCTAACTACTAAAAAAAACTACTTATCTACTAAAAGCAGCGCAATTGTGTCGCAAAATTTCTTTGGGTCTTCAATAATTTTGTAGTGGTAAACTATAATCTATCTTCTTGGGCTCAAATCTCAAACCCGCCCCATCAATATGTGCCCTGGGTATTCCTTTTTTCTTTTACTTAGTTGATGTTGAATGAATGGTGATGTGAACACCCATGTTTTGTAACTTTGCATTAAAAATGCAAGATTAAGGTATGGGATATTAATCTCCTGGAGATTAAGGATATTCATCAGTGAACATTAATCTGAAGATTAAGGATATCAATTTCTATCTAAACTTGAATAATTTTCATTCAGCCATTATCCTTTATGCAATTTAAAATGATATATTAGGACATATATTTTACATAATCACTAAATGTAAAAAAATAATATTTAAATAACAAACAAAATACCATAAATATTTTTATGAAGATGACATACCTGGATATCTCTAAGCCTACTGAGTATCTTTGTGATCTCCAAGTCTTAATCTTGATCATTATCTGCTTTAAATCTCAGATGTACAGACATAATCTTTACATACTTATCAGCAACAATCATATTGTCCTTCAATCCCATGACAGTTAATGACAATAAGAGACCAATATAATTTCAATACTGTCCATTAATTATCCAAACTCTTAATAATCTTTCTTTCAGCATTTGCCTGGAACCTCAGAAATAATCAACTTAATCAGACTTACCAGCAAGCAATCTGATTATCCCAAAGATTCCACAGATGAACTTTGATGCAGCACCAGGAGGGATCTGGCCTTGGTTTGCTGGAAGGAATAATAATAATAATAATAATAATAATAATAATAATAATAATAATAAAAGTGTAACTCTACTGTTGATATTTCATCCACTCTGTGCATCTATACAGTTTACTATACTTAAACAGCATTGCTATTTTAAAACTGAACAACAAACTTAAAATCCAACACCTTGTTATTTTCCCCCCTTTTGCTTAAAAAAGAAGGGTTTTTATTCTATTTAAGCCATATAATTCTCCGTCATTGAAAAGACCTTTGTAAGGGACCATTCCCACAGATATTTGGATCAATCTATCTCCCTGGGGAGTCTCACTAAATTGCTATCAACGTAACCAGCTTAAATGTCTGTCACGCCTAGTAAAGCTGTTCGGGGGTAATTATCTTTACACCCTAGATGATTCGGTAGGCATGACAGACATTTAAGCCAGTCAGTTGATAGCAATTTAGTGAGATTCGCCAGGGACCAATCCAGATGGATCACTCTAGCATGGGAACCCAGTCTAAGTTGTGTTAATACAGCATGCAGAAAGTCAATTATGTTTCTGCTGCATTGATGAGTATTTATCAATGTGAAAGCCTTCCAGCAACTACTGTATATTATATCACACACAGATGAATAATAAAATCAATACTTGGCAGATTACATATTTCCTGTTTTTTGTATCTTGCTGCTTGTCTTTTCATTAAATTCTAGCCACCAGTTCAGTCTTGTTTAAATTACAACAAAGGATTTGATATTACACAAATGTAGCTATGAGAAAGTCAAAACTAACCACTCTCATTACTGTAACTAAATTAATCTTTACTGTAATTTTAGACCCACATTAACTATATTAAACCTTGGCACCATTTCAACCATGATGAAATGTAAGCGCCATTTTAAATATAATAGAAACTCAGCTGCATTTATCCATAATTACAATTCAGCACCATGTTAAATATACTAAAAAAATTAAAACCATGCTTTATCCTAAACCTTAGCACCATGTTAACCATAATACTTACATTCCAATGATATTTCCTGGCTAACTCTATCAATGATCAAAACTTCACTTTCATCACTGTCTGTGGGCTCCACAAAGAAGCGCTCAGGGGTTATGTATCTGAAGTAGTCATAGCACATTCCAAGAAATGCTGAAAATGTTTCCTGGCTGCAAAGGACCTTTTTAAGAAATAGCCCTCCCTTTCACAAGAAAATGAGATCATGAGGCTGGATTTTTTTTTAACAAATCTGATAAGACTACTATTTTCTGCAGAGCACAGATTGACTACATAGAAACAAAGTCTGGTTGTACCATGCTCCACAATGTCTCAGTACAAATAACAATAGATGACAATATGCTTGGCATGCTTTTATTGCACTGTTCATACTGAATGTATATGATCTCACTTCCCTGCCTACCCAAGATGTCTTCAAAACTCATACTGAAACTACTGTTCACCAAAATGCTCAGATTCACACAAATTACAAATGAAAATAATCCACAATTTCACGTTATATGTTGAATCCCCGTCGGCAACTCTTGTGACCAAGGTAAATAAAAGTTTAACGGAAGACGAAAACGTTTCCTTTCTCACCCACTCCCTTTTATCCAATGAATTGAAAAAAATCTAATTCTCTACATGCCATAAATTACACCAGAAGAAAATAGCATCAATAAATTTCGAACACCTGACAACTCTTTAATAAAATGGATTGAACAATGCTCCATTTATTAATTCAGCTGCCCCTCACTTCCTGGGGCATCCTGAAAATCGAAATCAAGTTGGGATATTGGCAGCGGCAAGCAACCAAAGTTCTTCTTACGTTACACCAGTGATTTAGCTATGTTAATGTGTCAGGCGTTTTTTCGCGAGTAAATTATGCATTGTAAAGAAAAGATCATCACAGAGGTCGCGCATTTGAAAATAATAATTTACTTACAATCGCATCGACTCGTGGACAGCCATCTTCCCACTTTCTGATCTCTCAATAGAAAAGATTCTTCCTCTTCCGCTTACACTGCATGACATACCCCGAACACTTCTTTTTCGCCGTTACAAATAAAGGTTTCTAAGTCCAAAATATTTGAACTCTTATGAAATATTATTACAAATATTAATATATAATTTCATTTAATGCCAAGAAATACAGTATGTGATAATAAGATACAATTTTAAGTAATTAAAATCTTGCTGCTTAGTCGTCATGAACATTGTTTGAAAATGGCGGTGTATGAAGTGTACAATCACCCAGAAGTGCGAAGATATAGAACAAATGTCTGCTCCAGAGCTACATACGTACAGTTAATTACAACATTATTGACATTCTTGCCACCGCTATTTATAGGATATGGAAGTCAAGGTAATATTCGTGTCCGGCATTTTGAATGTACCGTATTGTTAATGCATTTCAAATGCTTGGCGACCTAGTAATTAGGTATATCAGAAAAATTTTCAAACTGATCAGAAAATTAAAATACTTATATCATCTGAAAGGTAATGCAAAAACCGGATGAAATCATTTGGAATTTTTTAAATATTCCTACAAGCAACAAAGATATTGAAGTTTTTTAACTGCAAAAATCCACCAAAAGTGTCCACACTTCTCAGCTCAAAACCTGTGCCCACTGACCAGCAGTGATCACTCAGGCGCAGCAGAGCACCCTGTGTGTCTTTGTGTGCTCAGCCTATTGTCTGGCTCACATAGCCTGTGACTAATCAGGGCAAAGCTATTTCCCTGTGATAATTTTCACATCATGTAATATTGCGGATTAAATTAACTATACTTCGCAACCTTCAAATTTCATGATTTTTCTACATAATATAGCAAATTTCATAAACTTTGCTGGATATAAATTTCAAAAAGATGATACCAGCACTTGCCTGAAATTTTTTAGCATTTTGTAGAGGCAAAACTTAAAACAAGCAGAACTGAAACTTGTCAAAGACAGAAAACATGGGAAAATCACGTGACCGGATTTTACTCTTTGATTTACAACTTATTTAGTTAATGGCTTGTATTAGTTTTTTTACGCGGCGCTAAAAGAGAGATTTAAAAAAGGGGTTCCATAGGCGAACTGTCAGCAGGCCGACTTCAGTTTTACACTTCACTGCCCGTGGATAGTTACGACTGTAGCGCCCCTAGCGGATTGTGATCTACCTATAGTAATATGAATACATGTACTGGACCTAGTACATGTATTTGATTACAAGGCAAAAGATAAACAGCCAGATTACATACAGCTACTTGAATTTTTTTATTTTTGCAGTAAGTACATATTTAAAATTTTAACTCTTTTTTTCAGAATTGAATTAATAATTGTTTCTATGCCCAGTGCTAATCTTGGTGCAGTCAGCCCTACAGCCCATCATACAACATGTAATTATTTTTCACAGGTTTTTGGCAGAAGAGCGACACCTACCAAGAGCAGCCAGATGTCCACTTCAAGCACCAGGTTTTAATGGTCCTGGAGACAGCCCAGGAGTCTTCCTACATTGCATGGAGCACATATCAGAACTTTAATCGGATGCAGCAGGCTCATCTCAGGGTTCCCATTGTAAAAGTACATATAATTATATGGAGGCCAGGCCTGCGGTATAAAAATTCACGGGGAGGGTTCTGGCACAGTGGAACTTGCCCCTTTATTAAGACCCATCTTGAGAAATGGCAGAGATCTTGGATCAAATTGTGATTCAGAGCAGTCCTTTTCCAGACAACTGAGTGTAAGGCCGTGCTTGGGATTGGGCCTCCTTTCAATAAATAATTTTTGGCACATAAAAAATGCCAGTTTTCAAGACCTTTGCAAAAAAATGTCATGGTATTTCACCTTAATTTTTCTATTGTCAAGTTAAGTTTTAGTCACAGAGAAAAAAAGTTAAATGCCCATGCAAGCCCCGGTGCATTATAATGTTATATGATTATAACCAATTCCAAAAAGGTGACTTATTACAATATGATCCTATTATACCTGACTGTGTATCTTTGTAAAAATTCGGAATACATTTTATAAATGACTTCAATTCTTATTATTTTTTATGTAAGTCTCGAGAGGAGGACTCCAACAGAGATGGACTATATGACACCCTCTATCTGACAGTACAAGTTCCTCTACTGGACACAGAACATATACATGGGGTCAAATTGCTGCTGATATTTGACTATAAACTTAATGTGAGTATTTTAGTCTTGTTAATTATTCTGCTGGGTATTTCATCTTCAAGACCATCTTGTTCTTTGTAGATACATGAGGTTGCTGTTTTGAAAATATGATAAAAAAAGTCAACTGCATGAAATATAAGGACATTCCTTGTGTTTTTTACTAAAACCTGTGTTATCCCACATCACAAAGTATTTTCTTATTGTTTTTTAACTAATTTATTTATTTATTTCAATTCTTTTATTTTTGATTTACTCCAAATGTCTGTGGCCGAGAAAATGTATTTTGTTGAACGATACTATATTTCAGATACTGTCATCATTTCAAATGGAAAGTATGGCCTATATACAGCATGACTCGCCAAGATCTGGGGCTGAACTCAAAGTAATTGGTGACCTGCGGCTAGTTCAGAAAGACTTGCTGTTACATAGAGGAGTTGATAATAGGTTTAATGTAAGTGGTAGTGCATGAACATACATATAGAAAGAGAGCGAGCCTGTATAATCACAATTTGTTTAGCTCTAATACTTGACTATTTATCAATCACTCTGTCACAGAAATTTATACCAGTGGTTATAAATAAATAATGTTATATAGCAGCAACTTCATTATAAGTTTTTTTTTAAGTATTAATTTTTTTTCTTGAGTATTAAATATATAACAAATAATTTGACCATTTTCATGGAATTGTCTCTATCATTGTTTAATCAGCATACTAATTTTTACCATTCAACTCAAAATTTGAGAGCCAAAAATTAGTTACTACATTATTGTTTTATTTTCCTTATTTCAGTCTCCTGTAATTGATGATACAAGTATTTATGCTGATGCCTATGACTTGGCCAATATATTTAGCAGTTATTCATCGAGAAATGGTAAGCACTGGTAAAGGCATTCAGCGTTCGTTTGACCTTTATCTATATATGTAGCAAAAATATATTTATTCCCTGGGAACAGGTTCAGTTTTTCCTTTATCACCAAGCTATAACATATCCAAAAGCAGTGTTCAAAATTTCTCAGTTTTACTGCCATGGGTAAAATTAGCCTGTCTATCTCCATGATGAGGGTGCATCAAACACTAGCAACTTGACACTCAAAAACGGCCAGTAATTTTTACAATGGTTGTGGATATGATATGCTCTGGTGATTAAGGAAAAGTTGTTAAAATTTCTAAGAAAGTTTAATTTTTGTTTTAAATTGCTCTGCTACTCTTTCTTTGTCTTAAAGATTATGAGGTAATTGGTACACTTAAAAAGTAAAGAATAGAGGAGTAGATGTAACTGTTTAAAAAAAGAATTATAACATTTATATGCAAAGCTACTCTTCTGTAGATTGATTTATCTGTTCTTCATTTTTATTTGTATTGTGGCACGTTTCATTGAGCTTGATAATGTGGTTCAGAAACATGAAAACATGCCATGTTGAACTAAAAAGACTTGCAGAATACTCATATATAGAAGGCAGGGTGTGTTTTACATTCATTTCTCCTAAATTGCATCATGAAGCATTTCATATTTCAATAAATAATAGCAGAAAACTTGTGATAAATATGGTTGTGATATTTTCAGTGACCACAGTGCTGGACAGCTCTTACCCTGTGTGGACAACTGGACGAGGGACTGGACAGCCATTTGTTATCACGGCCACCATCAGGTATCCAAGGGAAACATTGTTATATCCTTTACACTGTGATATTATTTGGAACAAGCTGTCTGATTACAATATTGAAATACATATATGTTCAAATATTATCTTTGAAAGTTTTCCCAATGAAAATGAATATTATATGGTATTCCCTAACCTTCGAGAAGTCCTTGACATACATCTGTTATTCTGTTTCCCTAAATCATATTGTCTGCTAGCAAGCAAGACTGTAATCAAAGTTATTTATTTATTTATTTATTTATTCTGGTACGAGTACATTTTTCACAATGACAATGACCTAACTAAATGTATTAAAACTAATGTACCAAAAAAACACATTAACATTTTATTACACTTCATTTAATCAGCTCTGAACCTTGAACATTTATGTTTGCCTTAACTCAGTGTTACCTATATTCCTGGCTTCTGGCAGCTGATCAAGTGGGCGTGGGTGCAGTACGTGGCCATACTGATCATATTTGTGGCCGCCTTTGACAGGATAAAGACATTCATTTTTCAGAATCAGTTGGTTCCTACAATAGTGGACAGACCTTTCAAATTAAACAGATCATGATGATGTACTAACATTTTATTTATTTGTATCGATTCATTTTACTAAAATATTTATGTCAGCTTGTAATTTTTTAAGTCAGTTGATGTAAGCTAATTTTGTACTTGTCGTAACCGGTAAGCTACACAGTTCAAACTTCTTTTAAAAGATAGTTGTTTTAATTGCCACTTAGCAATCCTTTTTGCAATAAGGCACTTAAAAAAACATCGAAGTGATATATTAATAAGTAAATGAAACAGGTTGAAATTTGATTGAATAAAGTTATAATAATTCCTTGTGCTTACCTTTATTTACTATTATTACTTTGATGATAATATTGTCTTTAACACAATGCTGTGTAAAATAGTAGGGTTTTTGAATAGACTTTTCTTTTTTTTAAATTGGGATTTTTTTTCATTGCTGGAATTTTTTTCATTGCTATCAGTTAGATATGTACTCCCTGTACATTCATGTGCATTTTAGAATATTAACATCTCTGACTGATTGTGGAGATATAATGTAGTGATTTTCCATATATTTAAACATTTCTTGTAGGACAAATCTAAAAACGAATTCATAATAGACGTATATATTTGTCCAGTTAATGATCTCAAGATTTTTAATTAAAATGTCTTCTATTTAAATGATGTATATATTTGTATCATTTGTATTATATGTTAATATTGTTAAGTGCTTTTACTATTGTAAAATAATGTAATAAAAAGAACCATCTTAATTCTTGTGCTTGTTTTTTAAACTGATGCCGTGTGTGTCTCTATATATTCTGTGTCTGTTCGTGCCATCACTATCTGACACATCAGTCCCACTTCAAACTATCCAATTTTATATACAGACATCTCCACGAGTTCAATACTTTGTACTGTGACTGTTCTCTGAATTATTTCAAATTGAAATTGTTTTGAGACAGAAAGGGTTTATTCAAAATTAAGAACTATTACTGTTGCAGTGGAGGTTATAAAAATCAACAAATAAGTAAGAATTTTAATTTAGCGTTACTAATACCCAGTAAATTACAAGATATTGGATTTTATTTTCAAGAACAAATAAAAATTGTGTCCCTGCAACAAATGTTGGGAAGTGTTTTGAAGAAGACCGTAACAACTTCAATGAGGTGTTGGAAGACAGCTCTTGTTGTCAGGCTGAAGCCATTAGCCCCATCTATCGAGAACACTGCAACACTTCACAACACTGACCCGGTGGCTTCACCGTTCGACAACCATAAGGCACTACATACCATGTGGAACACCTAAAAACATAAAATTTATAATGAACGAACAACAATACATTTAAAACATTTAAAATGTAAGTCATAACAATCTATATGATAGGTTTGTTATTGCAGCTTTGATATTGCCTTTAAGTTTTTTTAGTTTTCAAAGGACCAAATGTGGTGTAAACAAAGAAATAACAATGTTGGTTATCAGTTTGTTTCCCCCTCCTGAAAAAGAGACGACACTGCTCCATGCTGCTTTCCAAGGAAATGTAGCTTATTAAAAGTATGATCGCATCTTTAATACAAAATTTTGCAACGTTTTTCCTGGCTTTAACATATACATTTTAAAATTTACAAAAAGATACCGATTATGAAGAAGTGAATCAGGGAGTAGACAGGATGGAGTTGTCTCTGTTTGTTATTCAAAACTCAATTAAAATCAAAATGGCATGTGCTTGGTGGCACGCGTTAAAATTTATTACAGGTAGCGAATACATGGACGCATTATTGGCTCCATATTTTCTCCTGAAACAGATTTTGGGCGTGCTATTGCTAGGGTCTACTATTTTAGCTATTCCCAATGTAAATTTTACTTTATCGATTATTTCAAAACACTGTATACAAGTGCGTTCCTTTTTCTTCTTTTTTTTTTTTACTCATTTCTTCCTGTCTACTTCTTGTCATAATGAAACAGTTCATCAACATGAATTTGTATTCTTTCTGCTAATGCAGACAAAGTCTTTTAAACGCGATGTCTCGGAGCTTTTAAGTGAAAAACCACTACACCCGTTACAATGTGACATCAGTAATCCGTATACAATTAATTCAATTTCAAACTACTGCCATCTGACACGCTCACATGGTAGGCTACCCATGTTGGACCAGTGTGCGCTACAGATTTGATCCCAGTTGGGTTGACCATTGCAATTTCTGAACTGGGTTTGTCCCATACGATTGGTCCCACTAGGCTGGCTAGACTGTCGGGTAGAACCTGGGTCCTTAATAGCTCAACCCACGGCCCAAAGCAACCTCACAGACGACATGAGTCCCTACCATTAGTGGGTAGTATTTGTTCCCTGAATGAGAACTTAAATTACCCCATAAAGGACCAACTGAAACCAATATCCAACCCATGGCCAAAAGGACCAGAAAAGCCCAGGATTTACCCACGTGGGCCCTAGTTGGATGTGCTAACTGGGAACGGGAACATACTTAGCCTGGCATTGCCAGCCTCTTGAATCACACTGGCAGTTATAAAGACAGCCGTCGGACCAACGCTCTCCTTGTTTCCTGCATTCCATCATCCCAGTAGACTTACTTCTGTACGTGCAGTCGCCATCTGGAGTAATACAATACAATACAATACAAAACGATGCGACACGAATAGAATTAAATACTAAAACAGAATAAAATAGAATATTACGTATTTGGCAACAAACTCTGGGGAGAGGGTTTGGAGTCAATATTAAAAGTGTTATGTCCATTGTCAGTGATATGTACATTGTAAAGGGATAATTTATACATATATATTATTTATCATCTATACAATATCCTATTAAAATCTGATTCAACTGTCACTGAAGACATCCGTGTGATATCTGCTTTTGAGTCAAAAGTTACCTTGGGGTGAAGTAAAAATAGTTTTCAGAGTGGTGGGTGAAAGTTAACGTGAGTTTCATGATCAGTCTTTCCGATACTCGACTCCATCACAAGCGTCGTCCCTCAAATTTCAAACAGACATAGAAAAGGGCAGCACTCTCCAAGAAAAAATTGAAATTTATTTTTGAAGGATTTTTGTCAGGTATTAATCTTTTTATCTTTCCCCAGCCCATCAAACTTTCTTTATTCGACCATATCCTGGGCGGAGGACAGTCACCGTCGGCACTATGAAACTCGGGCTAATAAAATTTGACTCACCGCCACAGATAGTATTTCCACATTTCACCTTCTTGCAGCAGCCACCGTTAGGGTCGTCCACCACTTGGCACCCAGCTGGGGCTGTCACAATGGGGCACCTGGGAGAGAGAAAGATAGTAAGATAACTTGACTCCGCCCTGAATTTAAATGGCACGTTCTTTTCCACGAACAGTCTGCCTTTGCCCTTGCATATTTCTATGGCCACTATCAAGTCTTCCCTCCAACACACACACACACACACACACACACACACACAGACACACACACAGTGACACACGCTTTACAGGTGACCTGTAAATAATGACTCACAAGCTCCAGCCCCACTTGTACCAGTAGTCGTTGAAACAAACAAGACCCCTTTATTTCAAAGTTCCCTTACTTGTACTGACACGACCATGTCCGACCGTTGCACTGACAGTCAAGGAGACACCCATCCGACCATCTCTCCCCACTCCTCCTGCACGAGGTTCGCCCTGTAGTCCGGCTCGTGTATTGGCAACCGGACGTGCCTGGAAATCATGAGTGAAGAAAAATCTACACAAAAACCCGATTTTTTTATGCTCGTTTTCATTTCGTTTTCGTATTTATTCTCTGCTACAGTGTAAGTATCTCACCGAATTTTTTTGCGCTAATTTTTCAGCTTCTTTCTGTCCGACTGTAGACATTGTTGGTGCGTATGCATGCTCTACCATCCCAATTTTTATATTGTTTTTACAATTTAAACCCTTATATTCTACATATAGCTAATGATAGCCGTACTATAAGTATCAATCACTATATAAAGATAAAACTGCGTCTACTTTCCTTTCATAACGAAACACGATCTTATTTATAAACGATGGACACCAGCTCATAGCAGCAATAACGAACCCTTGTTGCAGTATTGTGTAATTTGAATAAAACACGATCTTCGTCTTTCGAGTCCCTTCCAATGGGCGTTGAAATGTGAATACTTCCAACAAATTCCATTGTGAATGTTAGCGTTCTGGTAAAGAGAAATTTATAAAATTCTCAAGTTATCTACATGAATAGAAAAATAAATAGATAAAATATTGTTTTCTGGCCGTCTTCATCGTCGTCTTCAGTTCGTCTGCTTTTGGCGACAGCCTCTAGCCAGCCAGTTCACGTCCATTCACCACCTCCTCTCCATAACCCATCTCCATTTGTAGGCCTAATTTTTCATAAAAATAACTGAAAACTTCTGTATCAGTTGCAAACTTCATGACATTTTACTTACAAAACTGAGCATCGGCTCTCCTTACAATCGTCAATGCCAGAAGCAGAGCGATGGATACTGCCATAAATGAACACATACTGAAAGCAAGCTTCTAGGCTTCCAAATACCGAATGACACTAGGTTCGTTCTAAGATATATGCCACTATAGGCTACTCCCACATTTTGAGGAGCTTTAACACAAAGCAGATCAAAAATCATTATAATAGAATAATGCGTGTACGAATTGAAATTCATCATAAGTGGGAAATTATTTTATTAAGTCCGTAGACGAAAATAAGCTGATCGAGCTTATTTCATCTAGTTTAGATGTTTAGATGTACCACTGGAGCACAAAAACAATTTCCGGTCCAGTTTAAAAGCAATGAGCATAATGCCATAATGAGTAGAGGCGTCATTACTGAAACTGGGCATTCTTTTTGAATGCTATTTTCCAATTCTATTTCTTAATCATGTCATTGCCGAGTGCCACATCCGTGCAAACAGTGTAAAGGAAATGAGGATATATTTTTCCACCTTCCTTTCCTTTTTGTAGGCCCTACCTATCGGAACTATTGGATATTCACAGACAAATTTGCATTCAAAAGTCTTAATTCACAAATTGTGACATTTACAGAGTGCATTAGAAACAGCAGTTTTTACATGTAAGACATTTTAACTGTGCCATTTAAAACGAATAAATAATAAAACAATTTACATCTACTGGTATATGGTAATTTGAGGAATCGTATTTTAAGATTGTAGTTGCAACTGTTTAGCAACCACCAGGGGCGGATCCACAGATATTTTCTGACAGTCGTCCAAATTATCTTTGTTGATCCATCCTCCACGCGCGCGCGTTTGGAATTACTTACTAGTATATGCAAATTTATCATGGGCCTTGTACAGGTTGTGATTAAAAAGGGCACGGAAGCTACTGCGTAAACTACAGAGGAACTGTTATATTGGCAACAGCAATCGCTTCCTTATATCCTGACACATTACTGGTGTTAGGAGCTGCATTTATACTAACGACAATCGATGTGCGCCAGGGATCCAGCATCCTTTTTTCTTTTTTTTTTTTTTATTCCTTCATGGAATCCATGCTGTATTGTTAATGGATGATTCCAAAATAACTTTATTTCTAAGCTTATAAGAGGCTGGCGTGGGTGGGAGGGTCGGGGAGGGGGGGAGAGGCTGAAGGAACTAACCGGATAAAATTTTTAAAATTTGAAGCAAAGTGGTGAATTTTGGTTGCATTTCAACAACAAAAAAACTGCACTATCAAGTCCAGATAACATGTCTTTAACGACTGAGAAAACAGTAGTAAAGTAAAAAAAGGGTAACTACACGTACATTATAAGTTAAATAGTATTAATAGGAATACTACACTTTTTAATTCTTTAAAGTTATAAATAAAAAGACATAAGAAAAGAAAAAACAGATTTATTATCCCTGCTAATTGTTAAATACGTTTATTTTCATTCATTTTAGGCTACCTACCGGTCAGCCTGGACTTTTTACGATCCCATGAAACAAAATATCCACTTTATTACATATACAGCTCAGAACGTTTAATTTAATATCTTCTAAAACACCAATTTTAATAAATTTTTAAAAAATCAAGAAGTGAATGATTCTAGTTCGAGTTTTCCTTATTCCCGCAAGATATGCAATTTTCAGTTTCAATAAAATAAAAAAAAGATGCTAATTGATTTTAAACATTTAAATACAATTTGGTTATAAAAACCACGCTGCTTTTGTATGTGAAGAGATTAAGTGACCATTTTTTAAAATCACAAAATCAAGTGCGTATAATTCTGATAATAAATATATTGTATATTGCTTTGATAATTTAGTAACAAAAAAGATGAATACTTTTTTAAACCTTTAATTCCTTCTCCTAAAGGCCCAACTTACTTAGTGGAATCTTATTTTCAGAGGGTGGTGTGGGTGGGAGGGTCGGGAAAGGGGGGGGGGTTTGGGGAACTGCCCCGATAAAATTTTAAACATTTGAAGCACAATGGTGAATTATGGTAACATTTCAACCAAGAAAACTGCAGTATTCATCTAGTCCAGATAACCTGTTTTTAATGACTGAGAAAATACTAGTAAATTTAATAAGAAAGTGGAACTACATGTACATTATAAGGTAAATTATGTTAATGGGAATACTACATTTTTAAGTTTTTATGCTTTAAATAAAAGGAATTAAAAGAAGGAAAAACACGTTTATTTAAGGTATCAATTTTTGTCTGTGGAAGTGTGGGTGTACTTTCTGCTCACTTCCCCCGGGTCCGTTTCCCAGAAAACACAGAGTAAATTGCTTTCGATTAATAAACCTGCAGGGAGTAAAGAACCGAATGCGGTAGAGGAGCACCCGACACAGCAATCTCAACTGCTGCTGGGTTCGCAACTGTCACAACTGTTAGGATTTACATGGCACAGAAACCCAGAGGAGTGAGCAGCCAAAGCGTATATTTGACAATTTTCTCATTTCACATGTGGAAAAAGAAGACATTGCGAAGAATTAAGTTACTGCTTCAAGAAGATATAACATCACATAAATATGATATTGTGAAAAAGAATGTTATTTATGTGTACAGGGCTATACTAGATATGTGTTTTGGCAAAAAAATATTATTCTTGGAAGATGAAAATTTTATTACAGAATACAATGAAAAATTGAAACACTGGTTGCAGATTCTCTCTCTCTCTCAACTGCACCAATGCACACAGTGACTTCGTTTAACAATCAAGCCCATGCTCAAGCAATCAGTCTAATATGGAGATGATATCTCCGGGAATAGACGGATCTGCTATTAATAAGAACACCGCGCCGCCCTGGAATTAAGAACACCTTTCAAGTTTGTGAAGCGACGCCGGTTTACGCTCCTGCTGCAGAAATTTCCTCCGGATATAGAGCATTTGAGAAATTTTCGTATTTTCCTGCGGAGTCGACCTGCCAGTGTAGGTAATCGGTAGATATTAGGCCAGATCACTGCGTATGCGGCACGTGTTAATAGCAACCCTCGGTTAACACACCTCAGTCACGAGCACGCTGTTAAGCGGCCACTGAACGCGGGCAGGCCAGGTAAACCAGCGGAACGCCGTTTGTTTTTAGCTTACCTTTCCAGCGCGAGTATCAAGTATCAGTAAGGTCTCGCGGGGCCCAATGATAAGGCGCGGCCATATATGGGTAATTACTCCTGGCGCTGCAAGGTGGCTGAATCCTGGACTTCCGAACTTTTAGCTCCGCGCCGAGGCTACGACCTTCGCCTAGCTCCTTCCGTCTAGCGTCGCGTGCAGCGTCCGCTTCGTCTTCGCCTGCCTGCCTGCGTGGCTGCCCGAGGAGCCTAACATAATTTATTCGATATGAGTTAGGCCCCCCTCGGCCTCGCGTACACAATTCATTGTGGTGAAGGGACAAGCTGAAGTTATACGTTGTCTTCCCCGATACAGCGTCAGCAACTTCATCGGCCAAGCTCCCCTGCTTAAACAAGAACGCTGTCGCACTGGTGATGGAAGTAAGAAACGTCGGCAGCGTCCCCGTGTGCCACTGCTAGAGGCATATATAATCTCCACCCGAAAAGAATCATCGTCACCCCTAGGAAAACGTGCGACAGCAACCGCCGCCGCGTCTCATCTCGGAGAGATCATTTCTGCTTTGATATTGCATTGTTGCCTTGGGCTTGCGATCGATCGTTGCGTCGTGACTCTTGGCTCAGTCTGTTTTCATACACGCATCGATCGCGGGCCAGGATTGCTTGCTGCTGATACATTAACATTTCTCTCGGTAATCTGTATTGCGAGAAAGAGGGAGAGAATGAGAGAGCGGCTCACACGTACAAGCTAGATATTATCACACGGTCATCGTTGTCACGGATAAAAATGTTACAATCGGTTGCCACTGTGAACACAGAGAGTCCAACCTCTGACCACTAAGAGCAGCATGTACATTAAAACCGTCAAACTGCGTTGGTTGTTAATCGGTAATATTATGAAAATTCTGAGAATCGACAGCACGGAATACATAGAAACAGAAACAAGACAGCATTGAAACTCTCTGACTGCGCGAGTCTATATAGCCGCATCATCTGTTGAAGGCATTAATCTATTATAAGCTGCGGATTCATTGCTGTCAGGTTTGTGACTTTTCGCCTTCAGTTGGGGCTGTTGTCGGAACTAGAGCTAAGGTAGAGGGAGATCTAACTGCGTTCTTTTTTTAAGCTAACAGGCGGGAAGAGGAGCACCACTAACAAGGCAGGCAGACGCAGCGGTAGACCAGGTGGGCTTCGAGGCCGCGGCGAGAGGCCGGTCTCTGCTGTTAATAACAGTGTCCCAGCGGTGTGCGCAGACAGGTGTGACGCGCCATGACCACAGCTCCCCTCTCACCTGAGACACACACACAAACGCAACCATGACCAGCGGCGGAAGTTCGGGAGGTGGACGCTACGATTTCGACGACGGGGGAACGTACTGCGGAGGATGGGAGGACGGCAAAGCCCACGGGCACGGGGTCTGCACCGGCCCGAAAGGGATGGGGGAGTATTCCGGCTCGTGGCAGTACGGGTTCGAGACGTCCGGAGTCTACACCTGGCCCAGCGGGAATACCTTCGAAGGTCAGTGGCTGCAGGGGAAGAGGCATGGTCTTGGGGTGGAAACGAAAGGACGCTGGGTGTACCGCGGGGAGTGGACACAGGGATTCAAGGGACGTTACGGCGTACGCCAAAGCGTGTCGTCTGGTGCTAAGTACGAAGGGACGTGGACGACGGGTCTTCAAGACGGCTATGGAGTGGAAACATACGCGGACGGAGGTAAGTAGAATGTGCTTAAGCTAATTCGGCTAATAACTCCTACATTGCTACAATAAACCTATAGACAGACTAAATACCCGCCGTGCCTGATTCACACACAAACGCAAACAGGCAAGTCAGCATTGCCACGGTGACAGCTACAGGGTACACTGTTCTTGTATGGAGACACCACTGTGGTCACGCTAAGCCAACTTGGTTTTATATCACACGATTATAGCCTATCAGCCATACACAGTGTAATATGCTGATATATGACTGAGCCCTAGGCTCCTGCACTTTTTACAAGAAGCGCTTCATAGAATTTGTTAACAGTTAAATATCTACGACCTACACGTGTACACGTACTTCACTGGTCTCATCACCAATCTGGTGCACAGAGAACGTCGGGTAAAAGAGAAATTTGTGGTGAAAATTGAAGACAAAAAACGGGGTCGATTATGTCGTTGTTGTTCTCAATACCTCGCTGGCGTTGGATTTTGAGCTAAAAACGAAGTGGCATTTTTGTGCTAGATAATGATAGTCACGTTCTGGTTAAAATTAGGTTGAACGCGTGAATAATTTAACCTTAACAACGTAGAACAAGATGCAGCTCCATATAGTTGAGGTTTATGGAATGAATTACTAAACGCATAGTTTTAATTTTAACATCACGGTACATGCGATACACTCAACTGATCAGTAAGCTTAGCGGGTGGTCACGCTGGATCGGCTAATGATAGATATTGACTTCATACCGATGTCATTTAAGGATTCAGACGATAACTCAATACATGAACATTTGGTACGCGCCGCCCCCTTTTTATCTAATGCGTAGAAACAGTTTATATTTATGGGCTAAACTTCTTGAGTTTGTAAATAACCGAAAAAGACTAATCGTTTAAAGTACTACCCTAGCTTTCTCTGAACAAGCAAGTAAGGTAAAAAGTGTCAAGGGGCAAAATTAAAGTTTTACCCCTGAAAATTCAGTCCTTTTTGCATATTTAAACCTCGTTAAAAGTGTCCGTTTTTGGCTTTAAAAGCATTTTTATTGGATATGTACAGAGTGAAGACAAAAGGGTTGACATTGAATGAATAATAGACAGCCTAGAGGACAGTTGACCAAGCATAAAGGTTTCTCCTTGACCTCCAGTGGCTTGAAACATATAAATTTAATATGTCATAGATATGCTGCAAAAACAACACAGAAGTCCGTGTACAACTCTACATGAACACAGCCGGTTTATTTGCCAGTTTTTAGATCTGTAAATGTCAACATCATTGTCTCTCTTCGTGAACTTCCGTCTCTCTCTGTGAATTTCCTTGACGTTGGATGCTGGTTGGCCTATTTCACGTCAACAAACAAGTCATGATGGGCCTTTTAGAAGTTATGAAAATATGCATCCCAGTTGTCGTTACAATGAGTTTTTTAATGTAATCTGTACCAGTATACTGGTATATTACGTTGAGAAACGCAATGTGCACGAAGAAGTTCGTGTATTCTTTCATTTGCTTTTTAATAGTTTTCTACCATTAACTTTAAAGGTCAAGTTACACCAAACCTTTTCTTTATAAAATGGTTGTCTTTGAATTTAGGCGTTGGTCAAAAGAACCGTCATCCTAGTGGGTATATATTAGATAGTAGCTATATATTGTATCAACACAGAAGAATAAACGATAAAATGTAAAGCCACGGTCAAAAAAATGAACAAAACGTGAAGCCTATTTACCCATCTCAAAGCACAAAATTAAGTCATCAATTGTTAACAGCCAGTCTTTTGTTCCTCCTCCTCCTCTTGCAAATAAAAATGCCACTAAAACACAAATACGAGTGGTCTGTGTGCAGACTAGCGACCCTGTTATCTACATTTACACGTGTACTTTTCTTGTCAGGTTTGAAATTTTGGATCGTAACTCACCAGCAAAACGTGTTCCTGCAAACCACGTACTTTAATGCGTGATACAAGTATTCGCGTATTATACGTGTTCTTGAGATTACACGAGCCTCTTGTGGCTTGGGAGGGTCGATAACAACCACCTATGGCGTGAAAATTATATGAATTAAATAGATAGGCCATTTTAACTTGAGGCAGGCAGGTATTTTTTCTCAAAGGACTTGTAGTCAGCACTAAAGGGTAGGAGGTAAAGCGTAATTATTGTGCGTGTATGCGGTGTGTATTGGGCTCCTTTACCATCTATATTTTGTTTTCTTGGAGCTGGTTATTTATTCATATCACATACAAGATTTAAAAAACTTCCACTATACTTTTATAGATGGGAATATATTTTAAACAGCAGCCATCCGTTTTTGTTGTGCAAAAAGTACAGTGTCAGCTACGTAGTAACGTGTGAAAACATTTTGCTGCCACGGGCACGTCATACACAAACAGGAGCACAAAACAGCAATAATTTGCATTAATTAACTACGGTGATTAAAACACCTATTCATGGACTCGCCGCGGGAATGCCTCAGTCGGTGAGAAGATAAGATCGGTAATGAAGATAATATTGATTAGCACTTCCGATAACACGCTAGCGATACCAACACAGAGATAGGGAAACGTGATTTCTTTGCAATTTTACAAAAGAAGAATGTAAATAACAAACCACTATTGACAGAACAGACTCAAATCAATTTGCTCGTGAAAAAATGAGTTCTTGGAGTCTACACATAAACCGGCAGATACTCCACCCCTACAGACAGTTTTAAAGGTGCACGGCCCTTGTGTCTTAGGGGAAGGTGTCAGTTTCATACAACAAAGAGAAGTCAACACCGCTGACGAGGCTGTTTGTCACACCTTTTGTCCGTTTGTTTTCCTGCCATATTGACAAATATCGTTAAACACATACTAAGGGCATTTGGTCTCAATCTAGATCCCAGACATTTCTCTTACTGTAGATAAGACACCAAATCATTATTTATCTTCCACGTGATCTTAAAAATCCCATTTCAGGTACAAACCGAGACTTTATTTGCTCACATTAATGGCAGCTTCGACCTTAGTAGAGATGAAGTTTGCTTTGTCACCTTTCCCGAACACACGTTTTCCCTTTAAACCAAACGAATCCCCATAAAGATATAGAACACCTGAATACCTATAACCCCCATACTTCCGGAAGTGGAAACCTCTTTTACGGGAAATGATTTTTTTCTAGGAATAAGGCGGGGTTGTCTCATGCAAATTACTTGTTAAAGAAAAAATCGAACCGTTTGAAACTGGATCAGAGGATAATTATAATAATGATAATGAAAGATGCGTGTATTGTACATTGGCTTTATGATGATTATCTAGATGAGATATAAAAATATATTATTATATATTGACTACCCCTTGTATATAACTTGTGAGGCATAACACCAGGGTATAACAGAGTAATCCCGGTAGAATAAGGAAGTATCTTCCGTAACATGAGAGTCAGTGCAGTTCACGAGAGCCGAGTTTGCAGTAGTCCATCGATTTCTTTATTAGGATAGTGACCAAAATATTTACACTTTCGCTTTATCGATATGCATGAAGTCTGCGTAGTAAGCGTATGGATGATGTATGAACATCGAAGGATCGTTAAACGGTGTGTTGTCTGTAAGGGAATTTCACACGTGATTTGGAGAGTTGGAGATTCAGTACGTGATATTTGGCGAACTAGATTTCATGGTTGTTGGGATTTGAGACTTTATTGAAAATGCTTGGCATAAATTTACTTTTACTCGTGTGTGTTTGAGTGTGTGTTTGGGAGGGATTGAGTGTAAGAGTAAATTATTCTAACTCATACATGATTTCACGAGCTATCCCATTATTTCGAAAAAAACGACCGTTTCAAATGGACCCCCCCCCCCCCTTTTGAAACCTTTTTTTTTCGAAATAATGGGATAGTTGAATTGCACTAGGCAACGGATGTAGATCTTTACGATGATTGCCTCTTGAAAATTATATAGGGCAGGTAACTGGTTAGCTATTTTTCATGGATTCCTTTCCACCGTTAAAATGTATTTTTATCAGGTACCTTGGTCAGTCGTATTCCACATTAATGATGTGCTGCATCTTTTTTCGAGTTTAATTTGTTTCGAGTTTAAGACCCCATTCCCAGAGATTAGATCGATCCAAACTAGATCGACCTAACTCCCCGGGGGTCTCACGCTAAATAGCTGTCAGCCGAGCGGGCGCGAAAGTTAATTACCCCCTTACAGCTTGTAGTAGGCGGTACGGACATTTAAGCCGGATTATCTGACAGTAATCTAGTGAGACTCCCCACGGGGATAGGTCGATCTAAAATCTATGGGAATACGCCCTAATATGTCATAATAATGTGTTTAATAAGACAAATGACTCACTACATACAAAAGCATATCCCCGTTGAAGAGTTATAAAAGTTTTACAAAAACAGTAGAAAACCCTGCAGGAAATTAGACATGGTGTACTGTGATCATTATATAGTTCGTGTTACATACTAGTACAGGTAAGACCTATCAGCCATTATGTGCTATTTCGTCAAAAATGCAAGCCTCTTATTAGTTATGTGATTCACTTTTTTTTGCGAAAATTTTTGTCTGTTGTCTTTGTGAACGTGCTCTTTTCGTTTAAGAGACCTATACGCCACAATAAGGTATACTGAATATGAAGGCCGTATTAAAATTAAGAATAAAAATGTTGTGCATTTTTAACGTAATTGATTACTATTACACGGCTGAAATGTGTCATGTTTGCAATATTGAAACGACTTTCTTGTCGGTCGAAAAAAAACATCAATGTTCTTGTTACCACGTGGAGGGCAATGATGTCCGATATTGACCATTTAAGTACGGTTTGGTTCATTGTTTTGAAAATAAGTTATCATTGAGCATATAGGGCCTAATTTCAAAATGCAACTAAAATTATTTTTGATGGCGCACGTATTACGCACCCAACGTTCGCCCCTTGACATTTATGCATGATGTGTGTCTTATTTTCGGATATTTTAAGCCAGTTTTGGTTACCCTAATTCATCATATAAGCAGGTTATGTTATCAAGAAATGTCTTAATGTTAT